CTTCAGATTACTTTTAACATAGTTAATAATGGCTTAATAAACTTTTATGTACCGACTTGGCGCCTTCAAGTTATTTTCAGATACGATTATATTCTAGAGAAGTTTTATCTTCATTATGTTTTTATAACGAGTTATTTTTACAATTAACATAAGTTTTGTAAATCCGCAATCATTTAAACAAAAGGAATTTTGTTACAAAGTAGAGGTATAAAGCCTGCTACACACGTTCAGATTTAACTGAACAGCTTTAAATGTAAAAATCGACTGTTCATTTAAAACAGAATGTGTGTAGCGGGCTTTAGAGAATTCTCTTGATTGTTGACAACTTAATAATGGTTCTTCTTTTGCAAAATTTATAAAAGATTATTACTGCAGCTTTTTGTAATAGTTTTTCTAAAACTTTCTGACTAAATATTTATACGCGATGATTCTACAGTCAATAACTTATTTACCATATAAAAGATTATAACCGAATCAGTAAATTACAGCAAAAAAACATAAGAAACGTAATAAAGGAGTTAGCTATTAAAATTTACTTAGTATAAATGATGAGTTATAGTGAATCTAATTTGGATGGTTGTAAAAAATACAGGTAGTACGTTCAGGTAGTTTTGTTATCTAAAATCATTTTTGAATATGTGTGTGTTTTATTGAGTCGAAAAACTCATACTGTAGTTATTTGGATACCTTAGAGTCCATTTATTTTAGTAAGTTTCGAAATATTTAATAAGGAAAAGACAATGAAAACCTTATCCTAAAAAGAGGTAAATCAAAGAGGTATGAGAATTTAAATTTCACGGAAGCCTCTAATCTAATACGATGAGAATTTTTATATAAAAAAAGATCAGCTTGTTTATACTCATGTAGCTAATTATCTTCTTCCAGTGCTTCTTCAGTCTTGAAAGTTAGCCGATAACTTTAAACATTTATTCCTGTCTAATGCAAACCGAAAAAATTCTTCCGCTGACCTCTTCCTTGTCCATTCTCTAATATTACGCAGCCAAGAGTTTTGTCCTGCCTATATTATAGTTTAAGCTAATTATACATTATTGCAAAGATTGCTTTGTTAATAACGTACGATTTGTACGAGTTAAGTGCAGTTAATGTGTAAAAGTAGAAATTGTCGCGGGCAGCCGTGCGTGCACCACGCACTACTTGGCAACGGAATTGCGACGAAGTCGTGGATAGAAAGTAGGGAAACGATTGCACACTTTAAAGATTCGATATTAGTTTCGACAGATGTCAACAAGAAGTTAGTTAAAGTCATATCACTAGCAAAACAATAACACATAAACCTATTATTATCCGATATTATTTTTAAAGAGAATAAAAGGACCCTGAAACAAAATCTGACTAATATTATACATAAATGCGAATGTTTAGATAGATGGATGTTTGTTCGAAGTTATCTCCAAAACGGTTAAACGGATCCTGCTGAAATTTGGCCTATATGTTGATCATAGTCTGGACGAACACATAGTAAAGTTTTATTTTTAATACCGCAAGAACGGAGTTGCGAGCGACAGCTACTTAAGATCATAAAAGAGTTAACACTATTGTATAAATATTCAGTGTATCTTTCGTTGTTTATAACAAGTATTTGAGTGGCAGTTATTTGTGGTTATGATTGGAGCCACAAAAAAGGTTTTCTGGTCTTTTATTGAACAAGCTTCCCAAATTGTTTTGTTCCTTTTCTCAAAACGTATCCAATCTTAACTTTAGTTTCGGCTGCCCAAAAATTATTATGAAAATAAATAATTGAACAACAATAAGCACTTTATTTGATACTAAAAAGAACGTCGGAGGATCTCGACTGCCTGACAAGTGAATTGATAAGGTAAAATCTGATCTGCGTACATGATTTATAATACCCGACCGCTGCGTTCGCGCCTCGGGTTCCAACGGAGATGTTTTTTTGACACTTTTTGGCGCCGCTCGTGCCCCCTGCCGGTTATCACAACCGCAGATTTATCCCCGCATTCAAGATACTTCGAATAATATTTTAATATTTCTTTGAAGTGTTATCGAGAAGGCTTTTCTGATTTGTCTAATCAAAACTAATTTTTGTTGCTTCATTCAGCCCTTCCTTTAGGAAAACTTTATTAAATATATTCCTGTCTTACTTTAAAGCGCTTCTTTGCTGTAATAGCTGTTCTGATAAAGCAGTTATTATTGGAGATCGATATATCTGACATGAAAGGCTTTAAGCAATTACTATAGAAAGCAAGCGAATTCGGTCAAGAGGGCTGCGTGTTACACGACGTATGAGGGCATTGGTATCATACGATCTACAAATCACGTCTCAAATTTTAACCTTAAACCAAGTTGTCAGTTTAATCTAATTACTTCAGTTATTTTTCATTGCGCCCGACACTTCTCTTGATTAAAATTAATCATTCCCTTGAATTTAAATTACATGAATTTCGATTTGCAATTTCAACCTTATGCGGTTGTGATACCGCCGTTGAATTTCGAGGGGCCCTTGAATCGCTATCAAGGTTACAGCGATATATTACCAAAGTATAATTGAAGCCGGAATTACCGACACATCGATTGATTTATTGAAGTTACTTTCAAGAAATGCTATTGAGCTTCTCTTGTACAGAAATTCCCATTATCGTCATCAGCTCAGTATAAGTCCCCGGTGAGGGGCTCGGAGCCTATCCTAAGTTAGGTGACTAGGCTATCGTCAACCATGCTGGCTTAGTGCGGATTAACTTCACACATATCTTTGAATTTCTTCTCATATACGCAAAGATGATACATCACGATGTTTTCCTTCATCGAAGAACGTCGGAAAAATGTACATATAACACACTGGTACATGGCGGTATTACAACCTAGGACCTGCAGATTGCAAGTCAAGTGTTTAACCCCTGAGCCATCAACTATATTTCAGTTCACGATAATTATACATAAACTAATCTTAAAATAAAACATAAGTGAAAAAACACATACTTAAGTAAATGAGGATTAAAAAAATTAACAAATAATTTAATGTTATTTAAATATTATCTTTAATATTTATATGTTGTATAACTTTTCCATAATAGTGATAAATATAAAAGCAATTAATTTGTACATTTCCAGTTTATATGTTGGACATTAGCATATGAATTCCGTTGCGTTCAATGTTCAAAAGTATAAATATACGTTATGTACGAACTCATAAAGTTTTATTCGAATTATCTAATAAACAAATGAAACTAACATTCAATTTCGAAACTGCCTCAAAACCTAAGCCAATAAACTTAAATATGAACAAAAAAAAGAACGCTATAGATATATGAATTACGTGAAAGGAGGGTATTAGGTGCAATTCTGTATTTTTGTAACAAACGTTATATTATTAAGCGGATGGGCGGTTCAGAGGTTAAACAGTTGACTTGTAATCCACAGGTCCCGGGGGTAGAATCCCGCCACTTATCAATGTGTTTTTCAATTGTCGATTTACATATGTACAATGGTTTAATACAAGTTCGACTGTATCGTGTATCCAAATACGAGCTTAAAACATATAGTGTCCATGACGAAAATAATAAAAAAAATCTTTATTTTAGGTACTAAAATGATCCAGACAATATTATCGGGAAGATCGCAAACCCATCACTTAATTTTATTACATCGCTAAAATTTTACATTCCTTAATCTGATAAAGAAAAATCAAATACAGTGAGAAATAAAAATACTTAAACAATACACTTAACAACAAGACGATAATAAATATTATTATTCAACGAAACACGTTTGAAGGGTCTAAACATATGAGAACATAATAAAAAAAAAATTCGCGTCATTGTAACCCTGAGGATTTCGATTGGGTATAAAAAATAAAATTAATAAGATTCTATTGCAGTGTACATCAATTTTAACTGGCCAGTAATAAATATATTTTTTAATCACTACTTTTATCACTTCAAATAATTCTACGAGTTTTAGATGGAAAAGTTAAATAGTTATAGACAGTTTTTTTTATTTAAATAATAGAATTCTTAGGTCGAGTTTAAAAATTATGTTATTCGACGCGACTGTACTTGAATAAAATATTTATTTTTAGAATGTTATATTAAAAATTCAACAAAACAATTTGATAATGTACGAGTGGTCATAAAATATTATTTATTTTTATAAAATTAAAATTTATCTGAATAGTTTTTATTTTATTTTTGATTATGACACGATTCGACCTTAACATGTATACGTGATTTATATAAAATTTTATTGACTTAAAAAAATAAAGCTTTTGAGACGCGCGGTTTGTTTTTCGATAATAATCTGATTTATTATAAAACTAGCTGTCGCCCGCAAATCTGTCCGCGCGGTATTAACCCTTAGTAGCCTGATTTGCATACGAAATTTATTTATTTTTAATATTACTGTGTTTGCTTGATAAAATAAAACAATAATGAATTTCGTTTCTTTTTAATTTCGTTGGAAGGAAATTATACAACAGTAAAATAGGTACAGCCAACCTATAAAAAAAACTAATAGTAATGTGAACATTCGGTTTAAAAGATTGGTATCAAAATTAAACCTCTAGGCTACTAAGGGTTAAAAGAACTTTAAATAGTAGTCTATGTGTACTTCCAGGCTTTTGCCAAATTTCATCAAAATGCGTGAAGTCGTTGTGAAGCTTCAAACAAACATCCATCCATCCATCGAAACATTCGCATTTATATTATAATATTAGTAAGAAGTAAGATGAAATAGCATTTATGTGAAAGAAAGTTGCATAATTTTATATGTTATTTGTTAAATTATGAAATTCTGATATATTTTAAAGCAGTAAAAATATATACTAGATACAAAAATTCCAAATAACTTGTAAAACAAGTCGTTAAAAAACAAAAAAAAACAATTAAATTCAGTACTGTAAAAATCCCGTCGTCATTATGAAATCGAATATTTAATGAATTCTTTACATCGGAATGTTGAAGAAATTTCACAGTAGGAGGTAAAAAAACAGTTATTTTTATGACAATTATTCGTATTTACATTACCTTTGTTCTGTAGAGCGGATTGGAAAAGTCCCAGCCCGGCGCCACGAAAAGATATCCACATTTTGATATCTTTCGACTGGCCTGCAACAAAACAATATAAATTAACATCGATAATAATAAAAATTTCCTAATAAATCATTGTAAATGAACAAATTAATAACGTCAATAAATAAATTGTGTATCATTTGACTTCGATATGCAGTCAAGTTGACTTAAAATTGACTGATTGTAATTCGTATTTTAAAAATACATTCGCTACGAAACGATTCCATAACGTATATCAAAAATATGTTGTTGTTGTTTTTATTATTCACTCGAAAGAGCAGGCAAAGGAACTAAGCCATACAGCCTTTTCTTTTTCAAAAATATGGAACTGACGCGCGACAATCATGTGACATATCGAAAGTTAATGTCAGTTCTATACATTTTTGAAGTTATGGAATTGCTTCGGAGCGAATGCATTGTCTAGAACCGCTGGCAATTGAATCTTGACAATAAAATTTCCATCAGAAAAGATAAGTCGATTATGAAAGAATTGTATAACGAAAATAATATATCCGAGTAACAGTTGTATCGATGTGTCATCGAGGGCCGTCGACCTGTATTACATCACGAGTACAGTCGCACAGACAAGTTTCGCAGAACAGATCTCGATTCGCGACCACATCAATGTCTAAACTTATTAAGTCGACCGGGAAAATGATTGGCGTCGGACTGGATTGTTGATGTATGAAAGTGTCGGTTCAATACGAAGTAATGCAAGAAATGTGAGTTCGGAAAAAACATAATATGGCTTCTGATATAAGAGTTAGATGTATAAAGACAAATAATCGCAAAATTACAACATTCCTTATTTAAAAAATTGCAATGGAACGATGAATGAAAACACAATGATATTAATTTCATATTTATTAGAACACAATTAAGAAATATCTTAAATTCTTCTAGATGGAACGACTGATCAATGAAGTCAACTGATTGACTGAAGTCGACTGATAAATTTGTGAAAAGACATATATTGCAACATTATTAACTATCAAGGAACAATATAGAATTTCAAATAAAGAAAGACAAAGTCAAGAAGATGTATGATTCAATATAAAGCTTAGAAATAAAAACCTCAACCATCGTGACCACAATGCAGTCGTCAAATAAACTAATAAATAGGAGACAGGTAAGTTCAACCTGTGACGCTTTACTTGACCGATGTCAGCTTTAGTGGGCGCAGGACAACGACACATCTGTCCGTCTGTCGCCAGCTAATGTGAATATAAGAGGTCTATTGCCCTCGCGCCGCTCACCGTTTTAATGAGGATCGCGCTTGGGAAACAGGGCACTGAATTGCCACAATGCAACACTCACCTACACGACTTGACAAAATGTTTCAGAAGCTTGAGCAAAATGTTTACGAATATTGGAATTTATTACGAAGTCTCCAGAATTTTTTTGATTCATAAATAATTTCGGGAATATCTTGATCAACATCCTAACACATTATATGGGAAAAAAATCACGTTTTAAACTTTAAAAGGATAAAGCTCTATCTCAATATTGTTTGTATTAAAATAATTAACCAAACGTCAATCTATTGATAGATAAGAGGAGAGAAAGAATTTTTATCAGCCATAAAAATTCTGACATTATATTCAAATTCGTAGTTTGGATTCATTTTATTTATAATTACACGAAATTGATATTGACACAACAAGGTTCAACAAATATCGCAGGAAATAAATCGCCTTTCTAGGTCAACTATACCCAACTTACTGCAATAAACAGAGATATGTATTTAAACATCAGACCATTAGCGTGAGCGGCTGGACACTTCCGACGTTAATTCCTGCGAGATAGTACAGGCTGCAGCAAATCGACTCCGAAGGCGCGGTAGCTTTCCCCCATATCAACAAACGGAGACACGACAACATCTGTGTCAGGGTTCTGCGGAACCGGTCGCAGTTGTGGGACCGTTAGTGGCCGGATCGAATTCGTACCGAGTCCGCGCCCGCCGTGCCCGCGCCCGCGCCGCATTGTCGCCGCAGATGACTATCGTCTACGAGCCGTTGTTTACCTCGCTTTACCTCACCGTTATTAGAATCTACATTAAAATCTACACACCGGGGAAAATCTGAGATTACTATCATGTTATACCTAGATTAATTATACAGAAACCTTTCTACATCACAATTACACTAACGATGGTTCTTTAACACCTTACATAAATGGTATAATAATTTAATATGTTATTAAGTAAGCTATCAAATAAAATAATGAAGGTAGGGATAACTGTCAGTATAATCTGTAAGTAATAAAATTATTTGAAATGTGGGAAAGTTTCTACATTGTATGGCCGTATACGTATTGATAACTGTAGTGTTCACGGGTGACCGTAAGAGATATGATGATAACATAAACTTAATAAAAGATTTCTTAAGGATGTTGTTAATAAATGTATGTTTAAACCTAAAGGGTAATTGATAAATGCTCACGACACAATAGTGTCGTTTGGGAATTCAATAACTTATGTTTGGAGTATGAAGGAAATTAAAATATTTGTAATTCGGAAATTTCAAACGATATCTTGTAAGATTACAAAGTCAAGAGTCGGATAAGCATAGTCAGTGGCCGCGTGACTTAAGTATAATATTCTAATAACCAAAGCGGTGAACATAAATTTGTCGCGGACAAGCGTAAAACTATTCGCCTGTAGAATCGGTGAGCTTGGTTAATTTATTATTATCTCCTCCATAGTATTAAGTTAAAGGTAATTTATATCAAAACTTAGCGTAAAAGTGTACATTGATATAAAAAAATGAGTAACACTGAGACAAAAATATGTGTATAAAACATATCACTACCCCTGTTATTATTTATGACAAAACAGAAATAACAGTATATTTTAAACGGGCATTTTGGTTTCAGAAACCCACGATAAGTCATTTCGAGATATACTGAATGGATGAATGGAAAATATGTAATGAATCTTTCACAGAATCCTTTTGTAGACTTTAGATTATTTTGTCAAAATTCATATTATTCAACTTGCAATATTGGCTTAATTTACATATTTCTTCTTACTTTAAATTTGTGCAAGAAAAGTGTATAACTTAAACCAATCCGAGGTAGTTACGCCTAGCTCTGTTATAATTTATGTCAAAAAACATTAAGCCCGGCATTACTGTGACGTACCACTTAATCAATTCAAAATTTCGATATTTACGCCTGTGTATTGGCCTCCGTGGGCGTGGGGGCGCAGGAAACGTGGAGGTCAACTTAGATTGGTCACTTCTATTAACTAAGATTGCATATGATTTGTGCGATGTAGCAATTATGCACATCCTGTTTGCAATTAATTTATCATTTATAATGTTTTAAATTATTAATTTAACATATTAATGTAAATTAAGTCACGTTGATTGCGTAAATATTACTTCTCTTTTAAAATAGTTAACTTAATGAAATTTAAATTGTAAGCGATAACTTTTGATAGAGTCGTGATCTCTGAACTGGCTTGTTTATCGTTTCGCTTAACTTTCTAAGATAAATTTAGAAATTAATAAATTTGATGTAAACAAATATAAGACAGTCGTGATAAAGTAACAGAGTGATGAATGTTCACTGTAGTATTCGTTGAGTTATATTTGGATCGTTCACGTACCGACACGTGCTACCGGTCCAAAGGTCTGACATCGAATGACGCCCCCTCTCGTATGACGTGTACGCTCAAGACAAACAACACTACCTTTATGTATACACTACATGGACGATAAACTATGTTGCAACTACATTTAAAAAAACGTTTCGTTACTCAAAAAAATATTGGGATTCGGCAACGAGTACACATGAGCTCAGTGGGTTTTTAGTACTGCTGTCTCATCGAAATCGTACGTCAACAAACCTTTTCATAAGCAATGGTCAATCTTGTTGGTAATAAGTTTCAATTGTAGTTTGATTTGTGTTTTTCCGTGTTAAATACATAATATTTTGAACGTCTTCTTACTCAATTATTAACAGCAATATTTATTGTTCTAACCGTGGGTTTCTGAGACCAAAATCCACGTTTAAAACTTATTATTATCTCTGTTTTATGAACGATAATGACAGGGATGATAATTTTAAACTCAGAAACCAACAGGAAATACTTCCAAAATAATAATGAGATGGTACAAACATCTTTAGTTTGCTTCATCCTGTTGAATATCCAATTGCACTTACAAACGCTAAATGCTCACTTTTGGTGTAGACTTCTCATATAAAATCTTCACTAAGGTAAGTAACCACTTATCTCTGAGTGTGACAATTAGTCTAGATAACTTTCCTGTTCATCAAAAGTGTGATATTCCTCATTAGACGTTAACAGTGGTAGTTTCCTGTCGACAGGTAGCACCCAGTTCCGGAGGTCGTTCGTGGCGGGGTGTTGCGCGGGGAGGACGGGGCGTGGGAAGTGGGCGCTTGCACTTTCGTTGCATCGGTTGCCGCTACGTCTGCTAACTAGCTGATATTCAGTAATCATGCCTCGGTAATGATCCTAACAAGCAAGGAGAAAGTCTAGAACAAGAGACCTGCAACTTTATCTAAGGGTACACGACATGTTTCAATCTATACTGTGTATCAGGTATACCTGAATGTTTTATTCTTGACCTTATTTTGCACAACATAAAGTGAGATTTTACTAAAAAGGACAAAACTACAAGTGTCTCATTTCAATGTCTTACGGTCACTAAATATTCCTTATCATATTAGTGTGAAAAGAACTAAAGAGATTGTTTAAATAAATTGTAAGTTAGGGAACATACCCATACTACGTGACCTATTTTTTTAGTTTTTTCGACCCCTCCCTTCCCTCGGTGACCACTTGTAGTACATGACAAGACCTCCCCTCCTCTCCTTTAGTTTTACGTAGTAATTCATAATTATGATTTTTAATCATTTCACAGGCAAAAATTTAAAAAAAAATAATTTAGCTCATACTCTTCTATATAGACTGCATGCATACTTAAATTACTAGTGAATTATGTATTACGAAAAATAACAACTAACGACTACGTGACTAAAACCTGAGCCACCCCCCCCCTCCTGTGACT